ATCAGAGAAAAGGGACGGAATCCAGGCCTGGAAGATCTAGCCAAGTTTGTCAAACGACAGGCTGCAATTAAGAATGACCCAGGATTTGCAGGTGTAGTCGTCATGCCAACCAAGGAGACAAGGGCAAACAAAAACTGCCCAACAGAAGTAAAGTCCCTCCGGTTCCAACGCAGACCTCATCCTTTGCTACTGATTTCTCTGCGAAAGACTCGTCTAGAAGGCCAGGAACAAGTAATGAATCCGGTCAGAGTAAGCCCTTACTCGGAGGACAGAGCTGTTTGTGTTGCTCTGGTGCACATGAACTAGCCTCATGCTTCGAGTTCCAGAACAAAGATCTGCAAACCCGCTGGGATATTGTGAAACGCCATAGGTTGTGTCATGTTTGTATGAGGCCAGGACATCGTAGAGACAGGTGTGAATCTCAAAGATTCTGTCCGTATAGAAGTGATAAACGACATCACAGGTTTCTTCACAACCCCCCAAGAAGAGACAATGGAGACCCTGACCGAGGCAACCAAACCCGTGAACGGGAACAACAACCTGCGGAGAATCAGCCAAATCCAAGGAATGGTGACCACCCGAGCACTTCTGAACCTAGGAGTACAGTGCAGTACGCAACCGCAATAGAACCGACCAAGAAGAAGACCACACTTCTCCATGTGATACCAGTGAAAATCTCATCGTCCGATGGGAAGTCTATCACCACGTATGGATTGCTAGACAATGGTTCACGTGGAACCATGATTAGTTCCGATGTTGCTAATGAACTAGGCCTGAAAGGTCGGAAGGAAGTGGTTCTCTTAGCACCCTTTTGCAACAAAAAGATGAAGAGTTTGAAGTTATAGAATTCGAGTTGCAATCCGCTAGTGGAGAAGGAGAGGTCATTACTGTGGAAGAAGGCCTTGTATCAGAGAAGTTCAAGATCGCAGAGAAGTGCCTTCCAGAAAATATTGACAGGAAATCACACTCACACCTAGCGGACAATGAAATACCTGACATTTCAGTAAACTTTGTCACATGTGAAAAGAATTTACATGACCAAGTAGAGAAGTTTTGAAAAGTGGAAAGGTTTGGAACAAAGAACACTTTGAAGGCTGAAACGGAAGGGGACCCAGATTGTAAACGCCGAGACCTTATCTTGTCCAGAGAGGATATGAAAGTAGTGGACATCCTAAATAAGACAAGACTAAATGACGAAAATCACTACAAGACGGGGCTGTTGTGGAGAAGAGATGATGTTCAGCTAGCTACCGAATAACCGAAGGGATGCAGAAATGAGATTGCAGAGTTTGAGACGAAAGTTCCATAGAGATCCTAGTCTTGAGGAGAGATACCGTGCCACTATGGAAGATGACATAACGAAGGGATATGCTCGTAAGCTATCAGATGAAGAAGCTTCCAAATCTGGTCCCAGAACGTGGTATCTACCTCACTTTGCAGTCACTAGCAGCAGCAAGCCCAACAAAGTAAGGACAGTCTTTGATGCTGCCGCAGAACACCAAGGAACGTCCTTGAATAAGAATCTATTACAGGGGCCTGATTACACAAACAATTTAGTTGGAGTCTTGTTGAGATTTCGTGAGGAGAATGTGGCTCTGGTTGGGGACATTGAAAACATGTTCCACCAGGTGAAAGTGCGCCCAGAAGACCAAGACTCACTAAGATTTCTGTGGTGGAGAGAAGGCATAGACGAAACACTGCAAGAGTACGCGATGACAGTACACATATTCGGAGCAGCCGACTCACCCTGCTCAGCTAACTCTGCCCTGTTGAGAACTGCTGATGACAATGGAGGAGGTTTTGACCCGATTACGATAGACACTCTTAGACACAACTTCTATGTTGATGACCTCTTGAAATCAGTACCAACACCGGAAAGTGCAATTGCGCTGATGGAAAGTTTGATTAAACTTTGGGCTACGGGTGGATTTAACTTGACGAAATTTGTTAGCAACAACCGCAAGGTCTGGACTTCTATACCTCTGGGAAAGAGAGCTGACCCGTCTCTGGATGTCAATCGTGATGAATTACCCGTCGATAGAGCGCTGGGGGTACGGTGGCACATAGAGTCGGAAACGTTTGGTTTCAAGGTCTTAGAGTTTGAAAAAGATAACACCATGAGGGGAGTTCTATCGACAACCTGCTCCGTCTTCGAGCCACTGAACCTCGCTGCGCCCGTAATGTTGCCTGCGAAGCAAATCATGCAAGAACTGTTGAGGTTAAAAAGGGCGTGAGATCAAACTCTCGAAGGAGACCTCGTCCAAAGATGACTACAGTGGGAAAATGAGCTACCTCTTCTGGCAAACTTGAATGTCCCCAGATGTTACTTTTAGTCGGGTAGACCATGATGGAGCTACTCTACAGCTTCATCACTTCTGCGACGCGTCCGAATTTGGATATGGTACCGCCACATACCTCCGAGTTACATACTCTGATGGAACTGTAGAATGTGCATTTGTTATTGGAAAGTCGAGAGATGCACCGATGAAAACTGTCAGTATTCCCCGTCATGAGCTACAGGGAGCTCTTTTGGCAGCACGTGTTGATCTTGCAGTGAGAAACGAATTGAACTTTGAGTTTGAACAAGTGGTTTTTTGGACCGATTCCATGATCGCTTAAAACTATATTCACAACGAGAACAGGCGATTTCAAACTTATGTGGCCAATCGAGTTGGAGAGATTAGGCACCTCACATCACCACACCAGTGGAGACATTGTCCTGGCAAACTCAACCCCGCTGATGATGTCAGTCGAGGCCTTGGAATGAATGAGTTTCTTAAGAACGAGCCCTGGCTAAAAGGCCCACCCTTCCTGTATAGCAGTGAGGATCACTGGCCAGAAACCAAGTTTTAGAACATCGCAGTAGAGAAGCTTTGGATAAAGAAAGAAGTGTACGTGACCGCGGTAAACCCAACATCATCTTTGAACTGCCTTCTGACCCGATTCTCTAGCTGGATCGCTCTTCTTCGCACATTTCCCTGGTTACTGAAGTTTCTACAGTGGATCAAGTGGTCCTCAAGAAAAAAGAAAGAAGAGACAAACACATGCGAAGTCCCACGACGTATCAGTCACGAAGAAATTGAGAAATCTAAAAGAGAAGTTGTCAAGTTGGTGCAGAAGAGCGTCTTCCCGCAAGAGATAAAGGATCTCAAAGCTGGGAGACAAGTGAAGGCGTCAAGCCATATTATGAAGCTTAAACCAACAATCATGAATGACGGTATATTGAGAGTCGGTGGTAGAATTTCGAGAGTACCCGTGTCTCCTGATGCTATGAACCCTATGATCCTGCCGAAAAATCATCAAGTCACCACGATCCTGATACGCTATGTACACGAGAAAAATGGACATTTTGGAGTTGAGAAAGTGCTGCCCCTTCTTCGAGAACAATTCTGGGTGGTTAGAGGAAGAGCTGCGGTGAGGGAGATTACTGGGAGGTGCATATCCTGCAAGAAACGAATGGCACCTAAGATGACTCAAGAAATAGCAGAATTACCAAAGATTAGGCTGACGCCCTATGAACTACCGTTTACTTTTTCCGGTGTTGACTATTTTGGCCCCTTTTACGTGAAGAGAGGAAGAGGAAAAGTTGCAGAGAAGCGATGGGGCGCCATCTTTGTACGTATGAACTCTTGAGCCGTGCATCTTGAGGTTGCTAGGTCCCTGGAAGCAGATGACTTCATCTCGCTGCTGATGAGATTTCTAAATCGAGGGGGACATGTGAAGGAGCTTCGCTCCGATAATGGATCGAACTTTGTTGGGGCTGATCGGGAGATTAAAGAGGCTATTGATAAAATCGACAATGAGAAAGTGGGTAGAGAGTTGTCACAGCGTGGCTGTAAGTGGGTGTTTCACCCTCCAGGGGCATCACACATGTCTGGAGTTTGGGAAAGACTTGTGAAAACTGTAAAGAGGAGCCTGAAGGCTATCCTTGGAAAAGACCTTATCAACTAAGAAGTACTCCAAACAGTGTTTATGGAAGCTGAACGAATTGCTAACTCCAGACCATTGACAAGAAATTCATCAAGCTTGAATGACGATGGGCCTCTCACACCCCGCCATTTCTTAAACATCCGTCCTACAGTGAATCTACTCCCAGAAATGGTTGATGACAGTGACAAGTTTAGTCCAAAGGAATGGCGCCAGGCACAACTACTGGCTAACCATTATTGGAAGAGAACGTCAGAAGTAATGCGAGTGAATTACCAATTGATTTTTTAATAGATATAGTTTAAGGAATAAAGGTGTAAATCTAGTGCAACCAGGGTATAATAATAGATCGTATCATAATTCCTTTACATATAAAGCTAGTCACCTTTGGAACAGTTTACCAAGAGAAATTAAAACAGCATCTACGCTTAGCGACTTTTGTAGTAAACTTAAGAATTTCGATTTTAGCACTCTAGGACCAATCTGTAAATGTAATACATGTAGTTGACTTTTATTGTACGTACACATACATTGTCATTCTTATTCATATTCATCTACTGCAATATCTTTCACCGAACATAATGTTTAGACTCTTTTAACTATCAATATTAATCACCTACAATTTTACAATTATCACTCGTACTCTAAACTTATATATTTTTACCTATAAAGTTTTAAGTACTTCTAATAATATACCTTTAATTATAGTTAATTTATAGTCTACCGTTTTATACATGAGCCTCTGGCTCGGGCAATTGGGCAACCATGCCTCACGTTAGACAATAAACTTTGATTGATTGATTGATTGATTGATTGATTGATTGATTGATTGATTGATTGATTGATCATCATCACAACCATTGACACCTAGTACGAATGGACAGAAGCAGATTGTTGTCATTCCTCGAGATAAGAAAATAAANAAGAGAGCATTTTGATTGGTTGATTTTAGTTATTGGCCCTCTGACTGCCCGAGTCGTGTAATAAATTGTTTTTGTTGCTGACTCTAAGTAGACCCGTCAGAAAGCGCGAGACCAATCGAAGTGCTCGATAGACAGTGATCAACTAGCAGGGAACGACAATCATTGAATTTTTTAATGATTTGATACCAAGATTCCGGGTAGGAGTAATGAAAAACTGTAGAGAAACAGTGGTGATTACTGGACATTGTTTTTGGTGCACGTAACATTTACTTGTTGTTGGGGGATTTTGAAGATATACGCACAATGTAATCTTTGTATCGATTAGTTCACATACTTATTTTTAGAGTCTAGTTTTTAAATTTTATAGTCTAGTTTTTGTATTTTTATCGAATAGATTACATGTTTAAATTTTACATTTTAATTGTTGCATACACGTTCACATTTAAACGAGCCCCAGGCTCACTGGTGAAATGTGTCTAAATACTACTATACTACACAAACGCACGAAGTGAAAATCCAAGAGAAAGAACTACAAGGAGACGGGCAAGTATCAGACAGAGATATTACTAAATGAAATATTAAATGTTGAATGAAGTAAAAAAACTGTGATATTCTACCTATGAGTAAATTAGCTGTGACGAGAATAACGCAAATTTACATTACATATTGGGTTTCAATTCAAGTTCAGATATGACCTAATACTAAGTTGATCTCAAGTCACAGTCGAACGATGAATGAATCTCAGGCTGTTAATTAAGGCTGTAGTTTTGCATAATACGAAAACAATATGTAGCTACACACGCTGGATAGCTCTAGTATTAAAGTTTATGTTGATATTGGCGAAGATCTTGCCGCAAGACTCGTACAGGGGATCGTAGAGGCATCTAACAATAAATTGCCAGATTTTACCATACAATCCCAATGGGATCAACCAGAAGCGGGCAAAAGGAGTTGCCACCCAAATCATCATGAAGCTCAGAGCTCCGCAGGTTAAGCCATAGATAAAGGACAGAAGGCCGCCGAATACAATGGTCAGTACCCAGTAAGTGCCAAGGATAGTGCCATCATAAATAGTTTTGGTAAACTGATGAACGCACTGAGGGCTACGAACTGCTGTTGGCTCGCAGATCACATCTGAATAAGCCACCTAGAAGAAAAAAACCCAGTGAGTTTTTTAACAATAATTTCCCTCACCGCGACTCTCGAATTTATCATTTTTAATTATAACATAACCAAAGTAAGGCGCGCGCTCTGATTGGTCAATTCCGTGCCCACCATTTGCCCATGGATGTACGCTGCTGATTTGAGCAAATGCAAAGACTAGTTTTCGCGCGCTTGTTTTTTCTGGTCACGTGAGATTTGTTAAATAAGAGGACGCTCTTTTGCTACAATGTATCAGTGTTATAAAACAAATGGTAAACACCGCAGAGTACACTATTGAGTTATGGATGCTCGCGGGAGGTTACTAAGCGCGATACAAGTGTGAGAGTCGCGCGAAGCAGTAGCCGAGAATATAGCCGAGAGCGACTCTGGGCTTAGCAGTCCCCCGCGTGTATCCTGTGCTGTATTCGATTTACGTTTACATTAATTCAGCCTCGCTTCCGTTCATGATTCGATGTATAATCACTTCCGGTAATGGCGACGACACATGTTAGAAAATATTAAAAGTTCTGTGTTGAAATCCAAGAATATATCTCCGTTTCTCGTGCCATCCGAACACCACAATCCATAACTCAATAGTGTACGCCGGGGAAAAAAACTACAATTTAGGAGACCACAATTTGCAGCAAGGCTCCCTGCAAAGTAAAGTGATTAGATTGTTTATGATATATTTATAAGGCGCTTCCTATCAGAGAGAGATCGTTGCGAGGAGTGTGAAAGACACTGACATGAACATAAGAATTGCTTGCAAGAGGAAAACACCCATTATTTGCCCTTGAGTGGTAAGCTATACAGCGATAATTTTGGTGAACAATTTTAAAAGGCGAACAGATATTTTCTTTAGTTTAGGAAATGAAATAGTAATATACCCCAAACCATTATTTTTTGATTAATCGTGGATAGTATATTTCATGACTGGGGTCGCGATTTCGCACTGGTAACGTATGATGGTTTTAAGATAGCGAATAACCTCGTTTACCTGCATACATCTACTGAACCAAATATTGAAATGAAATGTGCGATTTTTTAATAGGACCTTCATTTTGGTAAATTGCAATATAGTAACGAGCTAACGCTCGAAACGTCAGATTTTATAACCGTAACGGTGGCCAATTTACCATTTCAACTTTGTTGATACATTCAAATTATTATGCAATATAGTAACCTGTGGATGTCATATTTCATAACTGAGATCGCCGTATCGAAGTAACGAATGATGAACCAAATGCTGAAATAAGATATGCGATTTTTTAACAATGACTTAAATTAGGTAAATTGCAATATGGTTAGCTGTGTACGGGAAAGTACCGATGCAAGCGACATAGAGAGCCAAGAAAATGGTAAGAATACTTTCTTTATAGTTAACTCGAGTTCCATTTTTAATACGCTCATGAAATGTTTAGTTGGGTCTGACTTATAGTCCTCAATTCTAATAGCGTCCGAAATTTCCTCGAGAAGCAGCAAATATGGATGCCTAGTCAGCTCAAGTTATTTAGCGTCGGACTGTCGTGGGAAAATTTCATTCTAAAAATGATAAACTGCATAATACAGGCTTACCAAAGTAACCCACAAAGTCTTGTAAATTAACGTAGAATATCCTCATACTCTACTCATGCAGTATGTAAGGAAAATGCAGTAAGTATGGTTCCTTGGCGAGGGGGCATTAGGGTCTTTTAGAACCACGAAACCGGAGAAAAAATCATCCAAAACCGAAAAACCGCAAAAAAAAATTGCGATCAAAAGCGAAAACCGCATGCAAAACCGTAATAACCAATAAATTTTCACTTCCAAGTTATCAAAATCCTAATCGATCTAACTAGATTTTGCATCGGGTCCATCTTTGGCAAAATCGCTCGTCGTCACGTAATTATCATGCAAAATAACACCGTCGACTTCATCATCAATCATAATCAATTTTCAAGCTTGATTTGAGCACTATAATTGAATTAGTTTATTACCCTTGCACCTACAGAAATTTATCCCTGCTGCGCTTAATTCTGAACTCAGTCACTGAATTGACGACGGTTCCTACAGTAGGTTACTTCAAGGACTCACCTTCGAGAACTTTGGGAAGGACAGAACTGTGTCGCCAAATATCGTTACGTGCCTCGAGAGCAGAAGCGGGTCAGTGACTAATCGTATTACAAACACGGATACAATATTGTCTGCATAGCGCCACAGAAATCACTGATTCAAAAGCGCAACTTTCATGTTCACGGGCTACCTTGAACGACTACATAACATCGAGTGAATTGCAACTTAAGGAAAGAATGTTACAATCATGCAGCGATAATGACTGTAGACTTGGGCTGCTTCATGAAATATATTTTCCTTTTACCCTTACGACATCTTCCCACGAGTTACCGCTTTTATTGGGAAAAAATCTCAGACGAAGGCTTCAATATTGAAACCACAAAGACAAATAAATCAGTATTCACCTTCAAGAAAAGTCTGCTTGACTAAAACAGTGCTGAGATTGTAAATAGACATGGCTTTTCGAAACTTGTTGTGGATGCTTCTCATGCATTACAAAATGGCTGATCGCCAACGGATGAAAGTACCCTAGTAGTACTACTTCTTTTCAATCTCTTACCTTCAAATAAGCGTTATTATTCTCTGGATCCCTGTCTTCACTGACGCTAAGTAGCGTTGCACCATCCATTCCGTGTGTTTGGGGTATGATCTGTCCTTCCATCAAATCTTCGCTGAACATTTAGGTGTAGTGCAAAGCTATGACAGGTACGAAATTGAAAAGCAAATATGGTAACGCAATCCTCTACTTGAGTATTTTTTATCACAGTAAGTTAGCTCCTTAAAGACCATTTTCTTACAACCATTTGTAAACGCACTTCCTGATATCCCTTTGGAGAATTCACCTCTTCCCGTTTTTATCATCATTCCTCCATAATTTTCTTAGTCTTCCACCAAATGGGGATGCGTTCGCCGCTTTACATACCTATTAAAGTGTGGAAACACTTCCGGTGTCGTAAAAAGTCATTCATTTATTAATAAGAGGCGTTATAAAAATGCGCTATAAAAACGCGCTATAAAAACGCGCTATAAAAATGCGCTATAAAAACGCGCCAAAGTCGCGCGTTTTGTTCGTTTTATAAACGTTATTCGTCAACCGTCAAATGACCTAAAATCTAACCGTCAACCGTCAAAAGAACTTATTAGAGAGCTTAAGCACCAGACGTTCCTGAGGTCACGAACGCCTACCGGAAGTCACTAGAGGAACTATGTACATACTACGCATGTCATGACGTTCGCGTGGTCACGTCGCAGACGCCAGAACGCCACTTTTCAGGTTAAAGGTAGGACGCCACAAAAATATGCTGTTATTTTGTTTATAGGAGATAAATTATTTACTCAAAACCATTGAAAGCTCTTCTGCTTTTCATTAAGTGATTAAAAAACGTTTTCGTAGCGTGTAAAGTGGTTTTTGCTTAATCGATAGATTAAACGGGTTTCGACAATGGCAGACAATTTTCTCGCCAAGTCTGGGTGAGTTAAGTCATTTGATTTCATGTCCATTTGAATCATCAAATGCAGAACTAAGATTTTTTTAAAACCGGGTTTAAGCTTATCACAAATTACGTTGAGCAATAATTTAGAATTAAGACACTTAAGCGACATTTAGATACAATAACAAAGTGCAAAATGAGATAGATGATTGTCTTTCTGCATCGGTTGTATTTTGTAACTGCACATTGTATATCGTATGCATCTATGCTAGGTTTTGAGCAACCTACTACAAACATAAGAATAACAAATCTCGCTGTGATTAACGAATTTAGAAAAAGAGAAATGGTCCTCTAGGCATCCAGATCATACACTGAAAACTTCATGCTCGCTCGTTTGTTCGCATTGTTTACAGAACTATGAAGTGGTAAATTTCAAGTCGCCTAATAAATTGACGAATTATTCATTCTGTCAAGAGAGTGGGGTAAAGAAACTTATTTCCTTGCTCATTCAGGTCATATCTCTAGCATCTTTTAGCAAAGACATGTTAACACGGGTAGAAGTCCGTGTCTGAAAAACGTCGACTGCTTAACCTTCCTATTTCGCGCCAAGAACGAAGGCCTCGATCCAGTCTTACACGGCTTCTCTGCCGTTCGTGTTGTCAAGAACGTCTGGTGCGTAAGCTCTCTATTTTTAACCGTCAACCGTCAACGTGACCCCCCATTGAGACCCTCGATTACATGACCGATGCGGAACCAAATATGTCTGAGATGTTTTCAGTTATCCAAATAATCTCACCTTAAAAAAGACTGATCTCTGATGATCAAGTGCTACGTGCGCTCTTCATATTACGAACTTCATTAATAAATGTTGCGGGGAGGAGCTGTTTTCAAAACAGCACGGTTTCGAATTTTATGAACTTCGCATAGTTTTTAAACTACTTCGGATGTAGATTCTACTACTTTACCGATTTTAATCCTCTTGCCTTTCTTTGACTTAAACAATTTCCACTGAGAAAATTGTTTTAAAATATTGTCTTTTATTAAAATTTAAGGATAGGGTACAATTAGAGAATAGAATTGTACTATTTGCAAACTGCGCTTCCTGAATTTCTAAAAAAGTGTTAGCATTTTGCCTCCGCTGACCAACAAGTTCGAAGAATGAGACACAAATGATGAGGGACGAAGAGTAATAGATAATCTTCTCAAACTTTGCTAATATCGCTAGTGAAATTCTTCGATGCGATAATGGGCGCTGAAGAAAGCAGAGAAAGTGTGCTTCGAAACAACAACACAATGCCTAACCTTGTGCCGTTCATCGATTCGATCATGGGCGCTGAAGAAAGCAGACAAAGTGCGCCTCGAAACAACACAACGCGTAACCGTCAAAGTTCAGGTCGTCCATCGGTGACCGAGTTCTCAAAAAACCCTGCAGGATATCCTGGATTCATCTTAGTCCTAGTCCTTTCCACAGGAAAGATGGAAGTTATGACAAGACAAGAAACGCGCGCCAAAGCAGCACAGATTAAAATCATTTCTGATAACAGTGACTCAGTCAACTCGAGCTTCTTTCAGTTTTCTTCCAATAGCGACGACGACTACGACGACGACGATTTCCTGTATCATTTTGACCCTGCTACAGGAGAACTGAAAGTCCGTCAGAATAGGGCGGTACAAAATCCCTACCAAAGGAGTGAAAACCTTTGCGAAACCTGGGATGAAAGCCGCCCGGAGGCAGAGTTGTGTTTTGACCCTTCTACAGGGAAACTTATGGTCTGCCGTGTAAGGGAGGTACAACATCGCTTTTAATGGGGTGGACTTTGTTCTTTTAGTTTCACTAGATGTTGCACTGGGCTGAAAGGCATTTTGTATCTTTTACTTATTGTCTCTTGCCGACATTTTATCTCTCTAAAAAACATACTGTCAACTAGAAAATGGAGCGACTAGACACTATTTCGTTTCTTATTCATCATGAATCGATAAATCGTGCTATTGTTGATATTGGTTTTTTTGAAAATATTACCAGTGTAACTGCAGTGGGAACAAATCCTTCGAACATAGCTCGTATTACTATCATAAGGCATGGGTAAACTACGTTGAAGCCTGCGTCTACCTCATTTAAAGCTTCGATTGTCTTGCCTAGTCAAGGAAATGTTGACGTCGCCGGGTTCCAAAACGATGAATCATTTTTATTCGAGAAAAATGGAAGTAAACACCATTAGGACCTACTTGGTAAATTTCAGAGCAATCAGCTCTCTTTTTGTCGAGATTTTAAACCGAAAACCTTTCCCATTATATTTTCCCCAATCATCGCGCATATGAACTGGTCAAATCATACCCATGATCATAGTGACAGTCTCTTAAGTTATTTAGCATTAGATACCTTGAATAGATCTGTAAGAGCTAGCATCCTGTTAAGAAATAAATTTATCGTTGTCGTTCCAGAAATATTCGTGAACGAAACGATTGCCTAAAACTTCCTCGACAAACGAAACATCACCCATTCTAGGTCTCAATCCTTTCAGTCACGATTTTTGTTCTTAGAATAAGAAACAGCTCAGTATTTTCTGAGGAAAAAAGCTCTGTTTGTTGATATCAAAGAGGAACCTTTCTCACATGGACATGATGGACAAATTTTACCGTATTGAAACATCATCTTTCAAGGAAACATTTTAGTGACAGCCTCTAGAGTCTCCAAAGTTTCCCTATTAACAAAAACTTCTATCACTTTCGTCCCTCATCATATTCTTGAAAGGAAAGGATGCCTCTAAGCTTCCTCGGCCAACGAAATATGCTTGACACGGGTTTTCTTTTTCCAAGAAAATTAAAGTCAAAACAAGTAAGTATTCTGAGAAAAAAAGGAATTCTTTCTGCCGCACAACAGACTTAAATATCGTGTGTTCAGACACTTTAATTGATTCCTTCAAATTAAAGAACAGGTAACAGTCCATAGCTGATTAACTATCTAAAGTTATGCCGTGAAAGCTAGTGAGAGTTCATAAAAAACAATCTTTCGTGCCACAAATATCGAAATAGTTTGCTCATCTCTAGGCTATTATAGTAACTACATATTACCTCAACGTAGTTCCAACAGAATTCGAATGTTAAATACAATTTCCCTGTGAATCACTACATGTGTGCTAGATATTTCTCAAGATGTTCACCGGTTCGCCGATGGATTTCGTACGCCTCTAGCCAGATGCGACCTTTCATCAACACTTGATAAATAGTATTTTCGCACGACCATCTGTTCTTGTCGAAATGACAAATTTCTGTCAGACCATCGTGTACGCCATAAACGTGATCTTGGGTGCTAGCAGAGTTGAGAAGAGACATATCAAATTTCCTCAACACAGATGATGGAGAACTTACGACTAGTGTGGGGCATTCGTTTGGGAACCCTTCCGGAACGTAAACACGAAGCGTGTAGTTGTTCCCGTTGTTTGTGTTCACTCGCCATTCGACTCTGGTATTTCCAGCTGACGTGGGGTTGATCCAAGTAACGTTGTTCAGCTTGCCATCAATGATATCTTTCTCAAATCCCAGGCGTGTTCGTTGCTGTGCGCTCCAGCTCATCTTTAAGGAGGGTGACTTTCCTCGATGCTTTCACTTTGAGGATGGCTTGATGAGTGTTACAGAAGTCCTACTGACTTAGCTGTTTCACCTCACGGGTAAGATGATATCTTCAAAATTATTCTACGAAGGACGGATTTCCCAGAAATAAATGACCATTTACATGTGTCACGAAATGAAATTGAAATATAATCTAAACCACTGAGTAAATGATTCAAGTCACTATTTGGGAATTCGAGGGTATTTTAATCAGCTTGGCCGACTTTGGTCATCATTTGGCGTTTGAGAGATTTTAGGGATTATTAGCATTTCTCTCAGAGTTAACCATGCGTGACTCGTAAAAAGAGAACAAATAACCTCACTTGTTTCCTAGAAATCATTATCATGTGGCTAGCTGGGGGTTTGTCGTCCTTTTGTGTTCTGTCCAAGATTTGAACGTACTCAAATTCAAATGTTTCCATTTATTTAGCAGGGATGTATGCTGAGACTTATCTTTTAGTAATTATCATTTGAAAAACTTCCTGTTTTCTTGCAATTCCATGAAACTTAGGGGTCATGGTTCTGCTTCACGTAACGGCTAGAATCTTTTGGCTTTCTGAGAAATAATTTCCTAACAAACAATAATTTTCAATGTTTTTAATTTGTCAAAATTACTTGCTGTGAGGCATCGAAGTTTCAGTTCTCAGACGCATCGAAGTCACTGATTTAGTCAGATCTTGCCGAATGAATTAGATGAAAAATACAAGATGCTTAAAAGGGCAGAGTTGAATTCGTCTCTATGCAAAAAGACAAACATAGGTCTTGATATCGTCTGGCGCATGATTGAATACATTAAGTAATTCCGAGAAATCATCATCATTCATGATACAAAGAACCATTAGATTGACTCATGAAAACATTGCTTCAGTTTCACTCTTTTCGAAAGCGGTGTGTTTTTTTTCTCTTTGGAGTAAAACCAAATCAGTTTCAAATTATCCGGAAGCACCATTTTTAGCTACCTTCGTAAACTGACGTGTGATTTGTAATTCTGCAGCTTGATGTCGAGTCGAAGAGAATGTCTAGTCGCTATTTATACCAGCGAGTACAAGCACCTTTGCGCTTGGGTCTTAAAAAATCAAACCTTAGAAACCGGCGGAGATCTGTTTGGGCTTTGGAAAAATGACCACACTGCAGTGATCCAGCTCGTTTTGGGGCCTGGCAAACATTGTCGAAGGACTTCGGGCTCGTTCTACCAAGATGTAGAGTACTTGGAGAAAGTTGGCTCCCATTTGACTGGCAAGGAAGGTCTCTGTCACATTGGCGAGTGGCATTCTCATCATACAATCGGTCTTAAACGACCAAGTGGCGGAGATGAACGAACAGTTTGGACAAACATGCCTAAATATGGGCTGAGTCGCTTTCTGCTGTTCATTGCAAACATTGAAAATCACCGAGATTCATCTGCTAGTGTAGGATGCTTCCTGTTCGAATTCAAGAAGAATACCAACAATAGGGAGCTTCGGCCTGGAAAATTTATTTTACTGCAAAATGAAAGCCCCTTCCGTTCAAAGTGTCTTGAGGTTTTAAAGGAAAATGCAGAGTGTTTGAACGAGGAATATGAAGTGAGGTCGCTAGAAGTAGCCAAGAATGCCATCTCCATGCCCAACAAGCGGCCTGTAGTCGGTGTAAAAGTAAGGCAGTTACTTGATGAAGAACAAGGCGTTGACAATGAGGAAGAGGCCATCTCCATCCCCAACGAGCGGCTAGCGCTTGTAGTCGGTGTAAAAGAAAGGCACTCACTTGATGAAGAACAGGGCGGGAGGAATGAGGAAGAATATGGTAGGCTGAGAATTTTTTTTGATGAGATAAGAAGGCGCTGCCCTTTTCAATTCCGCTGTATATTGCTGTAAAGCAAAGAACAGATTGCACTGCATGGTGATGTTAAAATCGTAACCTGTCCTACTTTTCCTTTTCTTTTTTGAGAAAACAGGCTTTGGAAACAGTTAAATTGCTTTGATTTAACAAATTTATAATCCAGCATAGAAACGTAAAGAAATTCAAGGGCAGAGACTTACAAATGTAAGGAGTTATCATAATTCTGAACTCATTGGTTAAACGAATAAACAAGAACTGAAGAAAGCGAAGTGCTGTTTACGTGACATTATCGATGTAATTGCAAATGCGTTATTAAAAAGAAAATATAATCATAGATTTACAAGCTGCCGCTACTTTAGCTCAGTGTTAATTGCTAGTCAATAAACACTGAATTTTGCAATGAACGCTTGTTAGTTTGGAGATATTCTGCTTATCGAGATTGCCTGTCTAGCTTCCGAGACTTACACCTAAGTTTTTGAGCCAATGGAGCAGTGTTCAAATTTTAGCAAGAGGATTATGCTAAAATATCGAAATGGCCATTATCTAAATCGGTTCCATAACCGAACGTTGGACAAAATGACCAAAATTTTGAAATTTGTTTTCTTTTTCTTTTTCTCCATAATCTCTGATTTTATACTGGAATCGAAGCCGCGAGAGATTTTAGAAAGTGGAATTTTGCGCTTCAATATAGCCACAAATAATAACTTTATTTTAAACTCATGAAATAATTTTCAAGAAGGTTAATTCGCAACATAGCTTCCATTTAATTGTGAGCACAGTATATTTATTATACAATGTGCCATGTGTGTAGTCGGAGAACGAAGACTGCTGTATTATGATAAAGACTATTAAACTTTTCCGATGCTTGAAAAGGTTGATATTTGTAAGTCTATACTGATTGTTAGGGTGTGTGTGACTAAACCGCAGAGTCACGCAATTGACTCAGGGCTTCCTTTCTTTCTCGGAAAGCGATTTATTGTTTCTAAAATCAGGAACACTTTAAAAATATATGAAAATAAACTTTTTACTGCACAGTTGCAGTTTCGAAGAATGATTTTTTTTTTCACAAAATTTTTGTGGAATATCATTCCCAAGAAACCCCCGAGATTATACACCTTTTATTTACAGGTTATGCTAGGTTAGCACTGAAAAAAATGTTATTATCGTAACGAATGCCTGTTGCTTTTTCTCGCTTTAAAGTTAATTTTTTTGAGATCACACACAATCGGACGAAAGACAGATTTAAGTTCTATTTTACAGGGGTCAGACTAAAAACCGTGAGCCCCCAATTATTTCCCTTATATCCGCAGATGAAGACTTCACAGTGGCTATTTATGGCAGCGAGTACAAGCAAATTTGTGCTTGGGTCTTCAAGAATCAAGATCTGGAGACGGGTGGCGATTTGTTCGGTTTGTGGCACGACGATCACACAGCAGTGATCCAGTTCGTGTTGGGTCCCGGTAAAAATTGTCAGAGAACTACCACCTCTTTCTTCCAAGACGTGGAGTACTTAGAAAAGGTTGGCTCTCATTTGACGGGTAAGGATGGTCTATGCCATATTGGCGAATGGCATTCCCATCATAAAATCGGCCTTAAGGAACCGAGTAGCGGAGATGAACGAACAGTGTGGACTAACATGCCTAAATATGGGTTGAGTCGCTTTGTGTTATTTATTGCCAATTTTGAAACACACAAGAGTGCTTATGACTCGGTAGGTGTCGGCTGTTTTCTATTCGAAGGGAGCGAAACTAGCCACCGAAGGTTACTTCCAGGAAGGTTTAAGCTCTTGCCAACAGAGAGCCCTTTCCGCTCTACATTTGCACGCAACTCAAACTTAATGGAAGGAGCAGAAGGTCTAAATGAAGATAACGAAATAAAGTCTCTGGACGAAGTTGTAACTGGCTCACGTGACATGCAAAACGACCGCGAGCGACCTTTAATGATTCATGATGAATTAGGAAGCGGGCTTCCTTCAAGCACTTGTTGCTCAATGATGTAACTCTTAAGAAAGAACCTGGTACGATGCACTGACCAAGATGAAGTTTGTCTTAAGTAGATGTTGAAAGTTAAGGGCAATTTGCAATAATCTGCTTAATCGACGTAACTCCAAGTGTAATTTAGTTAGTGAGAATAAAGCAAACAGATTCGAGTTACGTTTTGGTTTGCTCGTTTCATTGCGTCTTTTGTAACGTAATCTGTAATAACCTGGCTCAGACTTCGAATATATTTGTCCATTGTCGCCTATATCAAAGTTTCAATCTTCCCAATCAAATTCAATCATTTCCGTGATCTATTTGTTTAGTTAGTCATGTAACTGTTAGATCGTCTGTTTTATTTTCTTCAGCTGTGCTGTTTTTTTCTCTTAAACAAATACAGCTATTACAGACTTAATCACCTGAAGCCAGCCATATTCGAAAAGATGTTTTTAAAGAGCTTGAGCACCACAGAGCGAGACCAGCTGTGGTGAGCAATGAGGCATCAGATCCTTGTTTTGTGCTTGTTTGTGCTTGCATCTTGAGAACTATTGGGTAAAAATGTTTCTCTTTTGGATAGACAAACCTTCGTCTTTAGCTCTAACCCTACTTGCCCTACTTCCTGCTCTATTCACCGAATGTAGCTTTTTAAGTGATCGAAAATGCTAGTTGTAAGAAGTTCCCCTATAGTTAGCCAAAATCCCTTTTCCCTTCCATTTTTCCGGTGGCAGTCTCTCATGTCTTCTAATCAAGGGCGAGATCGGAGATTCCTCAACTCCCAATGGAAAGCGTAGAGAACCAAGGAGATGGGAATACTTCTCTCCGACCACTGTGTGGTTCGGGTCTGATTCTCTCTCTCCTCCTTTTCCATCAGTAAAAACCGTGAGTAAACACTCCTTTCGCTAAAATTTCTACCTTTTGCGGGATCCTACACTTTAAAACGAGCATCATACAGGGATGGATGAGCAAATTAACCAATTTACATGTTTGTAATATGAGCATGTGATGCTCTTGTAGTGCCGATATCTCAGATTAGGAAAATTTCAAATTTTCAACTTGCTGCTCTTAATATAAATACAACAAATTAAATTTTTGACTTGTTTTGTTTTGATAAACCGATGCTTTCAATGTTTAAAAATTATCATCGCTATACGAGCATCCTCGCTTGGTTTCTGCATGACAAACACCTCAACTTGGCAGGATTCCCGGAAATTGAGGAAGATGTTTCGTTACTCAAAACTTCTGGCGCGTGACGTAGTACAATTTCCCATAATTTTGTCGAATATGTGTCGTTAAAATGAACAGCAGTATATATATTTCGAGACTAACGCAAAACACTGTCGCAGTTTTGCTTTGAACTATTCAGTGGTTACGAGACAACGAGTGGCATTTCGAAAAAAAATAAATGCAGTCGTAAAAGTGTTATTCGCAAATTAATGTCGCGTAGCTGTTTCCAAGAAAAGATTAGAGGGGGGGATAATGAAAGGGGTTCGGGTAGACAGAGTTTTGAAACTTGATTTGTTCCGTTGTCTGTTAAATTCCAAGAAAAAGAAAACGTCACACGAAATGAATCAACCAATCAAAGCACATTTGAACTTCCTAGAAATGATAAATATCAACTTATACATTTCATTTTCAATAAACTTTTATAGTTTTGGTTTTGTTACGAAGAAAAGGACTCACCTACAATGAGCGACCAAGACGATCAGCGCAAAGTAGTCTGCTTCTTACAGCCTAATTTTACCGATGTTCTTAAAGATAAAGAAGCTGCTAAAAAGCGATTTTCCGTGACAATATTTGACGATTGTGACACAATTCACGTCCGCGTAGAAAGTAACAATAAAGATGAATCAGAGAAGCGAGTCGCCTTCAAAATCTTTCAAGAATTACCTTCGAGTGAAGAAGTTCAGAAAATTGCTTCTGATCTGATTTCCGCTCTTCCGGCGCTCGAAGAACCTCAGATTGCAATTCTGGTATCTGAAGATGACCATGTCAGGGCTTGTGTGAGATCAAAGCCAACTGAACCATTGGAGCAGGCGGCTGTTTTGCGGCAACCGCGGAAATCGCAACTCTACTCACGCAGTCGTGGCATACTTGAGTCGAAATTATTGGAGGAGCGAAAAGTTGCAGTGGTCGGCCTTGGAAGTGGTGGCTCCCATGTGGCAATTGAGCTTGCTAAGGCTGGAGTTGGCAAGTTTGTCCTAGTCGACTATGATCGAATTGAGCTGCATAACATCATCCGCCATGTATGTGGGCTGAGTGACCTAGGACGTCTGAAGACCAATGTCATGCGAGACCATATCTTGGACAAGAATCCATTTGCAGAGGTAGAAACACACAACACCAACATCAACAGCTTGGAAGAAGCCAGAGAAATTCTGAAAGGAAGCGATGTTATTATCGCCGCGACCGACAACATTAGAAGCAGGCTCAACATCAACACGCTGTCCATAGAGCTTGGCATCACGACCCTCTACGGAAAATGTGCTGTCAGGGCTGCAGGTGGAGAAGTGTTGAGAGTGAGACCAAAGGTTGGCCCGTGCTTCTCGTGCATCTATGCTGATGCCGCGATGGAAGCCTCTGCTGAGGAGATGTCCTCATTCCGTCAAGCCCGAGACGCCAATCCTCCTTACATTGGAGACGATGAAGTGAAAGCCACGATTCAAGTTGGACTGTCTTCCGACATCATTCCTGTCGCTAATATGCTGGTGAAGCTGGCCTTGGTGGAATTGTGTCGGGGAAATGATAGTGCACTGGCCACATTGGAGAAGGATTTAGAGGCTCCCTATTACATGTGGGCAAACCGTAGAGAGCAGCAGTTCGCTGGATACCCACCCGAGGGCTTTCATCGGTTTGATCAGCCTGGAATTCTAAGATGGTACCCAATGACAAGCGAAAGGAAACCCGACTGCAAGACGTGCCAGGATATGGGAGCTAGTGCGGAAAATGTTGACTTTTTCTCGTCTTCAGACAGATAAACGACTTACATTTTCTTATATGTTAGATCTATCAGAACAATTTGTTACAGTGGAACGAAATGCCTAAACTTTGTCCGCTTTTGTTGCAGTGAAAGAAATGAGTAAA